ATACGATGACATATCCGATCGGAATGGGGATATGATATTAGATATACCCACTGTCATGCCTTCCTGGTTCTATTCGAACTTGCCAGCGTGACAATCTGTCTCGTGCGTTCTATTCATTGTCAATGTATGTGTCCGTGTTTAATCACGCGACCTACATTTGCGGGAATTTGACTTTTGACTTTTATTACGTTTGCGAGAACAAATTGCATGTTTACGCAAATTTATCTGAGTCTTTATCTGTGCTTTTATCCTGAGAATAACCTGAACTTTTTGTTTAAAATTACTTATATTGATATATAATTTATATAATCAAAGAAGTCTTACTTCGTTTATGTAAACATTAAAAAGCACTACATGTATGTCGAACAGTACAGTTTAATTTTGAAGAAAATACAGTTTCCTTTTCCTGGAAAGGAACATCCTAAGTATAACAACCATATTCTGGACCAAAACACAGTATGTAATCTCGACAGAAACTATATAGAATATAAGTCAGTCCTTGCTGTGGAAAGACTCTGGTCCAATATTTGCACGTTTTGTGCTTCCATTTTGATCAGTCGTCCACATTTTTGGCGGTATTATAGACCCACTGGTGACGTACTTTTCAACTAAGTAGTTGGCGAATAGTTTGCGGCTTTCATTCCCAGTTGGATTTGGCACAACATCCTCTACAAAACTGCCCTAAACTTTCTCCGCTTGAAGGACTGACAATCACAAGTCCTGACCGTGTTTAAACTATTTTTGCACGACCGCAAAATTTTTGCGTCCGTATAGTGTTATCATGTTGTCTGCGTGGTCATCGTCCGAAGACACTTGGTTTCCAGACAATAACTTGAGTATAAAATTATGGATCTCTATTAAATTGTACCACAAAGTTCAATACCACAGCAGGAAGGCTGGGATTGACCTTGGGGGTTATTGGTCCATTTGTTTAGGAATTAGGGGCCTAAAAGGGGTCAAAAACAAGCAGTTTTATTGTTTCAGGGAAATAACTTGTGCATAAGTGTATGGATCTCTATGAAATTATACCACAAGGTTTCATATCTCTAAAGGAAGATTGGGATTGATTTTGGGAGTTATGGCCCAAATCGTTTAGGAATAAGGGGCCAAAGAACTAGGATTTTCATGTTTCCGGACAATAACTTGAGTATAAGTCTTTGGATCTCTATGAAATTATACCACAAGGTTCCATAACAAAAAAGGAAGGTTTGGAATGATTTTGGGGGTTATAGCCCTAACCGTTTAGGAAAAAGGGGCCAAAAGCATTACTTTTTTAATACTTTGTATAAATTGCTTATTTCTTGAGCAATTTCAACGGGGTTTAATTCATATGAAATTGAGAATGGAAACGGGGAATGCGTCAAAGAGACAACAACCCGACCAAAGAGCAGAAAACAGTCCAAGGCCACCAATGGGTCTTCAACACAGCAAGAAAATCCCGCACCCGGAGGCGGGCTTCAGCTGGCCCCTAAACAATAACGTATACTAGTTCAAAGTCTTCAATTCTTGAGGTTCTTTATTATGCTGAATCTTACCGTGTATTTAGATTTTGGAATTTGAACCCCGTTTTTAAATTGGTCCACATTGAGGTCCAAAGGGTTACAAATTAAGCTTTGTTTGATTTCCACAAAAAATGAATTCTTCGGGTTCTTTGATATGCTGAATCTTACTGTGTTTTTAGATCTTGGATATTGGACCATAAAAGATGTAAGTCAGAAACCTATGCTATGTAAAATATTTAACAAATTCAGAGATGTATTGCAGAATTAATAGAAATTGAAAGTAGATTCATAGTTAAAAAATGATATAGCATCATCATATTCTAATTTTAGAAATTATGTATAAATATAGGTTGAAATTCAATGTTCATTATTAGATATTTTGAAAAATAATTATAGGTAAGTTTTATAGATTTTTTACAGACATTGTATTAATGATGAATGCCGATGTTAAAATGTCTTACAAGCTATTACTCGACATTATCAGGCTGCAGACCAAATATAATTTTTGTTAATTTGTATAAGAACTTCGTGGTAGGTTTGTTTGTTATTCTGTATAAATTAGTTTTCAGAATGCTATATATATATTTTTTTCTTTCTTTTTATGAAGCAAACCCCTTTAAAAACTTAGCTAAAATTGTCCATTGAGAAATAAATAAATAAAATTCTTGGTGTATTTGGATATTATGTTCCTTTAATAAATAAATAAATTAAATTCTTGGTGTGCTTGGATATGCTAAATCTAACAGTGTATTTAGATTTTGGATATTGGATCATTGGATCATTATAGGTAAAATCCAATTTCAAATTTTTGAGTTCTTTTCTATTCTGTGACAGAAACCTATGCTGTGTCAAATATTTAATCACAATCCAAATTCAGAACTGTATCAAGCTTGAATGTAGTGTCCATACTTGTCCCAACTGTTCAGGGTTCGACCTCTGCGGTCGTATCTAGCTGCGCCCAGTGGAGGATTTTTTTCTATTTCATTTGACGATTTTTTAAATTATTTGTATGCCCCACCTACGATAGTAGAGGGGCATTATGTTTTTCGGTCTGTGTGTCCGGTCGTTCGTCCGTCTGTCCAACTTCAGGTTAAAGTTTTTGGTCAAGGTAGTTTTTGATGAAGTTGAAGTTCAATCAACTTGAAACTTAGTACACATATTTCCTATGATATGATCTTTCTATTTTTTATGCAAAATTAGAGTTTTGACCAGAATTTCACGGTCCAATGAACATAGAAAATGATAGTGCGAGTGGGCAGGTTAAAGTTTTTAGTAAAGGTAGTTTTTGATGAAGTTGAAGTACAATCAACTTGAAACTTAGTACACATGTTTCCTATGATATGATCTTTCTAATTTTAATGCCAAAATAAAGTTTTGACCCCCAATTTCACGGTCCACTGAACATAGAAAATGATAGTGCGAGTGGGGCATCCGTGTACTATGGACACATTTTTGTTTTTATTTTTTTTTATTAGAAAATTTAATTAATTCCCACAAACGTAGTAATTTTGCAACAGGTAAATTTCGCGGAAACATAACTCTCCGGTTCGATGGCGGTTTGGCCTAGTCCGAGATTACTCTGACGTCCAACGGCTGTTTTGCCAGACAAGCTGGGGCCGTGGGACGTCAGAGCTCGTCCCATATCAAAAAGTGGATATTTGCCCGTCCAAAATAGATGCGCTGCTTCGTCGCTTCTGGTGCCAACGGACGGCCTTGGAATTATATAAATCGGGTATCAATTTGTTCATTTTTCATTTATCTCTTCATTTATGCAAGTTTCACCTACCTGCCACCCTTTACTTTCTCATATTTAGACAGTTTTCACAGTGACCCACCGATTCTGGCATTTTGACTTTCATTTTGAAAGATTGTCATGTGATCACGAGAAAAAAGTAAGGCACAATGGACTATGGGAAATGATGTATGCATATGACCCTAGGTCAATATGAATATATAATCTAACACCTCGCTCATTTACGATGCAAGCAATGTAAATATCCGAAAGCTTCCGAATGTTATCGTGGTTGGCACTAAATGCTTAATACCGATCTCCTGTAAAGGAGGTGAAAAATCGTGGTTGGCTACTAAATGTTAAATAACCATCTCCTATAAAGGAGGTGAAAAAAGTATAAATATTTGCATATTTGAGTCTCGAGGTCGCAAAATCTCTCGTAACTTGACGTCCATTTGAAAATAAAAGTAAAAATGTCTGAATCGATGGATCACTGTGAAAACTGTCTAAATATGAGAAAATAAAGGGTGGCAGGTAGGTGAAACTTACATAAATGAAGAGATAAATGAAAAATGAACAAATTGATACCCGATTTATATAATTCCAAGGCCGTCCGTTGGCACCAGAAGCGACGAAGCAGCGCATCTATTTTGGACGGGCAAATATCCACTTTTTGATATGGGACGAGCTCTGACGTCCCACGGCCCCAGCTTGTCTGACAAAACAGCCGTTGGACGTCAGAGTAATCTCGGACTAGGTTTGGCCCATCAACTATAGTTTTTAATAGGGATAGAAATGTATCATTTACCCCAAAATACAATCTTTTATAACAATTTGCTCTAGGTTTGATTTTTATTGTCTTATTTGTCAAATTGTCTATTTTACAAAAATGTAAGTAACTGAGAAATGAATCCTTCGTGTAGTGTGGAGTTATCCATCATTTTCCGTAGGATATATCATAAATGTATCATTTACTTAATGGTCTGGTAAGGAATTGGTCCTAAACATTATTTTCAGAACTTTTTTTTATTAGATTTTCTTTCCTTGCATATTAATCTGTAATGGTGGCAACTGTGTTAGACAGGGGGATAATCAATTATAAATCTTGATAAACCAAAAGTGTGTAAACACGTGACTTTTCAAGTATGTATTATTGATTTTTTGTTCCAGTTTCTTATTTGTTTTATAAAAATAGGCAGCCATGTTTATCAGCATTTTAAATGAAACAACATTGATCCTTCGAATACCCTTCCACAATTCTCTGAATGGTTTTTGGTCTAATTTTTGGTCTAATTTTCTATGATGTACTGAAAGTATCAACTGTGTTTTGATGACATACAGGGTTTTGTCATTTTCATTAATCCTTATGGAGACCATTTATAAATATATCATTTCCCAAATTCAGACTGTTGTACAACTTCCGCACAAAAACGTTACAAATTAGAATTTTTTAATTGATTTTACCGATAAACCACAATTTAGTAACGATTATAGCAACGATTGATCACCAGTAACGAGTATAGCAACGATTGATCACCAGTAACGATTATAGCAACGATTGATCACCAGGAGCGTTAGAATGTTTTGTAGCATTCTAGGAATAATTGTAACTACTATTGGTTTCAATCGCATGATGGTTTCAGAACATTTTTTTCAAGTTTATAGTAGATATCGGAAGATGGATGCAATGTGATGAGAAAACTCCACACTTGCCGTTTGTTTCATTTTAGTTAATATTGATGATCATGTTTAAATAAATAATCCTAAAACAAATATATCTTTTTATTTGAAACACAAAACAAATGAAAAACAAATTTTAACAATGTGTTTTTACAGTTACGTTCGAATTTCCTCAGCACTTTGTGTGACATTTATATTTAAATTTTCCATTGAAGTCTTCCCCCTATCACTGATAATGTCTAAATTTTCTTTCGATGCATCGATATACGGAATACTAGAACCCATACTAGATGTTTTCGATGTTAAATTGGGAACCACCAGTTCAACATTTTGATCAATATTTCTCGGCAGTGATGTAGTTGGAAATGGTTTATCGTCTGGTTTATTAACGGTCCCAATCTCTATGTTTACATAGCATGTGTTCTGACTCTTCTTGGAACTGGATCTTCTGGTAGGCTTTATCGGAGGAACTGTTCGAGAATTATGTGATCCGTCACGTTCTCGTGTAAAACCTTCTGATTCCGTTTGTTCATAGCCATGGTTTATGTAACTGGAGCGATTCGCACGAATTTCAATTTTCTTTTTCTTGAACCTAAAAAATAACTGCATAGATTAAAATTATATATGTACAGAACAAAACGTCTCTTACAAAGCACCATATTGCATTAAGTCAAAGATATAAAACAAGATGGCAAAGAATACAAATATCCACTTCATTTGAACTTTGGTGGATAGTTGTCTCATTGGCAATCATACCACATCTCCTTATTTTTATAAAGAGCGTTCTTCGGGAAGTCACATAAGATAAAAATATATATAAGACGAACAAGATATGGTTATACAAAGACAAGGAGATGAGTATATATATTCTTTAAGTCTTTGTTAGATCTGGTGTATTGTATTTTAACATATCATCCTATTTTTATATTAAAGTTAATAATAGATAAAAGAAAACATATGCCCGATTTTGCGAAGGAGATGTGAAAATAATTGCTTGTGTTAACTTTGTTATCCGTTCTATGTAGACTTATATGGATATATAAAAAGTAAAAACAGTATATTTCAACTATGAACCGTCTTTTTGACCTTTTTTCTGTTGACATTTGTCTGTTTTAAAGCCTAAACACGTAAAATCTCATAATCTTTAATCATGATATAAATTGTCAGTTCCTAATTCTTCAGTATCATAGAATTGCACCTTTCACACACTTGGGAGTTGACAAAGAAAGATCGCCTCGACAATGATAAGAATAGTTGCAATTATTATTGTATTTGGACTTTAAATTGGACAATATGTTCAATTGAAATCGGAGTACGAGTACCGATACTCTTTTTCCTGTGTTTCTTCTCTTGAAACAACTGTTTATGGAAGAAATAATATTCCAAACTTTACCTGTGTATCACAAACAGTGCTACTAATATGGTAACAAGAAAGATCAATCCTACAGCGGCCAGCAAAATTATTAATCCTGAAAAGACATAAATACTCTCAAACTAGAGACTTTATGTATTTAACTTACTTTACTGATATTTATAGTATTTTTGCTTGGCAGAATTTGGTGTTGATGCCGAATCTTTGATAATTTTTGTTAATTTTTTTCAAACTTTTAGAGACTCTTGACAATTTGGAGTTTGACGTATGGTATAGACACCCACCTATTTTCGAAGGCTGTATGTTTCCATCTAGATGTCTTTTGGTTATTTAATTTGATAGGTTGCTATCCCATTGACGTAAACTCAACATTTTTTTACACATATAAATTAAAGATCAGTAAAATATTCATTTATAGGGGGAAGAGGTAGATTTGTGAAGTATAACTATGCACGACATGACATTATACATAATTGTTTTTATGGTTTACAAATCAAACAGTATTTTGTATATAAAGCGTACAAACAAAACTGTATTTTGTATATATAGCGTACAAATCAACTGTTTATTTTATATATAGAGTACAAATCAAACTGTATTTTGTGTATATAACGTACAAACCAAACTGTATTTTGTATATAGAGTGTACAAACCAAACTATATTTTGTATATAGAGCGTGCAAAGCAAACTGCATTTTGTATTCATAGCGTACAAACCAAACTGTATTTTGTATATATATATCATACAAATCAGACTGTATTTTATACATACAGAGTATAAATCAAACTGTATTTTGTATATATAGCATACAAATCAGACTGTGTTTTATACATACAGAGTACAAATCAAACTGTGTATTTTGTATTCATAGCGTACAAACCATACTGTATTTGTACATATAGTGTACACACCAAACAGTATTTTGTATATATAGCGTACAAACCAAACTGAATTTTGTATATATATATCATACAAATGAGACTGTATTTTATACATGCAGAGTACAAATCAACCTGTATTTAGTATTTATAGTGTACACACCAAACTGAATTTTGTATATATAGTGTACAAATCAAACTGTATACTAGCATTCGTATGACAATACCTTTTGTCCCTAGCCCTTTAGTATTTGGTTCATTACTATCTATCTCCACTAATTCATTTGATGTCATCTCCACATTTGTCGAGATACTATTCTGCGTGGTGTCTGCTAAAACTAGAAATATTTTTGAAAAGTTATAAAACTTCCAGTGGTAAATAATTCATGCATGTTCAGGACGAGAGTAAGTTAACAATAAATACAATAGGTAGATCCTGCAATGGGGGGTCGACCGGGACAAAAGAAGGAAATTTAGAATACCACCGGAAAATGAGGATATATTGGGTATGGACAGGCAACAGGCAACCTACGGACCCCTCAAAATGTTGTTGCAAGGGTTCTTAGCGTGCAGAAGGTGTGGCACTCTCTCTACACGAGGCATCGGATTTAACGTCTCCATTCTGACCAGAAGTGGCTGCGTATTTATACACCCCGCTAAACCAAACGTACGAAAGGGTTTTACTATTGGTTGGAAAAAGACCAAAAGTGCCGGACAGTTTTTCTATTCCCTAGTCACCCATGTTGTGAAAATATTAAAATATTAAAGAAGACTTTGGTCATGACTCAAACAAAATGGTATCAGTTGTAGAAGCTGTACAGTATCAAATAAGTAGTAGCACACAATAAAGTAATATAAATACTATTAAATAACATGAAATTCTAGTATAATAATGTGCACATACTTTACATGTTTAAACAAATTGGAACGGAAGTTATTAGCTAAGATACTTATGTCGCGTGTCGAAGGTTTATACATGTTTTTATATCCTGTTTGTGTTTTAAACTGACTGTTTTCTCCCGAAATATTACAAAGTTTAATTTGGTTTTTTTTTATGTGTCTTTGATATTTTTGTGATATTTGACGAATTTAAAAAAAGAGATAACTAATTGAAATAAAGAGATGAATGAATTTAAAGAAATAGATAAATGAAAAAATCAGTATTTCGTGAAGCAAGATTACTTTGGCAAAACATATCAACGGTTTTATTATTTTCTCATCTTTTATTTAGATGACAGTTGACAATAATTAATAAAATGTTTGAATTAAGTTTTCTAATTTTCCAATTATATATGCTATGCGTGTTTTTACTCATCAAGCTCCTGTTATTAATGGATACTATTTCATGATTATTCTTTTTGTCTGATGATATTTTGAAATAAAGTATCAATTCGTAATTTTGAACAATGATTCTTCTTAAAAATAAACGTAAATGATATGAAATAAATAGATTGCTTAAACTATGCTATATTCGTTTGGCAAATTTCACCTTTATTCTTTATCTATTAAGATGTAAAGAATGGCCTTGAAAAGTTTAGAACATCTTCATTAATAATAGTCGATTATAGCTTCTGATCCATTACTGATGAAGACTCCACAGTACCAAAACAAAATTCAATATATCAGAATGTATTAGTCTTGTCGCAATTCTTTGGTACCAATGTAAGATGTAATTGTAGAATAGAATTAAAGAAAATAATATAGACTCACCCTGTCCTATAATATCAACGGATGCTATAACATACATGTAACTCGCCATTATGGTAAACTATGTAACTTATGACTAAGCGGATAATACAATGTACATATAATTCAAGTGGTTTTTTTTCATTTCAAAGGAAGGATACTTAGCCAAAAGAGGTTTGTCCAAGTTTGGTGTGATTATAAACAAAATACAGCATTACGTACGCACTTTATAAACTCTAAATGTTTATTTTATATTTCCTAGACAGACTATTAAAAATTATTTTCTAATAAGTATTAGAAATTATAGACAACATAAACTTAATAACTTAATAAACAAAATAACTTCAGCATAAGTACCATGTCAACATTTGTTCTGTATTAAACACATTTTCGGTTTTTTACTGTTGGTCTCTGACATTGTAACTGAAAAATAAAAATAATCCTTCCAAAGACAGCTTGAAAATAAGTACCCTGTATCACAAAATACTGGAAATAGTTATGCATTACAAATGAAAAGAAACATTCATGGAAAGCCTTAAAAAAGAAACAAAAAACACCTTCCTCGAATGATTAAAGTTAAAAGTTCGTGCGGAAAAATATCGATCGTCTACAAACCAGAACAGCAAATGGTAGTCCCCTTTCTCCAATACACGTGGTTTTTTTTTCTTCAAATAGAGATCGCACTTATTTCGGAGCAATGTGCAGACTTCAAAGAGGAGCTTAAAAAAAGAATGAGGGCATTCCATGAAACTTAAACAAAATAAACGAGGACCTTTACGCCATTTTCAGTCACTGTAAAATTCCGTTTTTTTTTTTTTAAAAAACAACACTACATAATTCTAGAACGCATTGGAGTGTAAAAGTTAAGACTATGATTCATGTTGTTATTTAAAATGTAAGATTCCTGATGACTTATGGATGATAGAAGATATGTTTTCTTGTTTCAATGTATTGTTAGGTTGCTGTCTCAATGATGTATTATAACATTTACTATTGATGTCAATAACAGATTAGAGGATGATATTGAATGTCGTACTGAAGTGATCTTTTGGCTTAGAAGATTAAATTTGGGCCTCCAAAGGGGTGGTCCAAAGTTATCTAAAACGTTCACGTCATTGTCATTGTTCAAATTGTACTTTGCTTTAAACGTTAGATAGAAATGTTCAACTTAAAACCATTTAAAAATTATCAAGTCAACCTTTTTTATGTGAGATATTTTTTTCAATAAGTCAGCGACGGACATTTAGAAAAATCTTGCTGTGCCAGACTACCAGTATTTTTTAACACCAAAATATCTAAGAGATTACACGCGAACACTGAACACATGTATACGGTAAACAGTTATCGCTCGCTAATAATGGAGAAACGAAACAGACTACCAGTATTTTTTACACCAAAATATCTTAGAGATTACGAGAACATCGATCACATGTATACGGTAAACAGTAATCGCTCGCTAATAATGGAGAAACGAAACAGACTACCAGTATTTTTTACACCAAAATATCTTAGAGATAACGAGAACATCGATCACATGTATACGGTAAACAGTTATCGCTCGCTAATAATGGAGAAACGAAACAGACTACCAGTATTTTTTACACCAAAATATCTTAGAGATTACGAGAACATCGATCACATGTATACGGTAAACAGTTATCGCTCGCTAATAATGGAGATACGAAACAGACTACCAGTATTTTTTACACCAAAATATCTTAGAGATTACGAGAACATCGATCACATGTATACGGTAAACAGTTATCGCTCGCTAATAATGGAGAAACGAAACAGACTACCAGTATTTTTTACACTTAAATATCTTAGAGATTACGAGAACATCGATCACATGTATACGGTAAACAGTTATCGCTCGCTAATAATGGAGAAACGAAACAGACTACCAGTATTTTTTACACCAAAATATCTTAGAGATTACGAGAACATCGATCACATGTATACGGTAAACAGTTATCGCTCGCTAATAATGGAGAAACGAAACAGACTACCAGTATTTTTTACACCAAAATATCTTAGAGATTACGAGAACATCGATTACATGTATACGGTAAACAGTTATCGCTCGCTAATAATGGAGAAACGAAACAGACTACCAGTATTTTTTACACCAAAATATCTTAGAGATTACGAGAACATCGATCACATGTATACGATAAACAGTAATCGCTCGCTTGTAATGAAGAAACGAAATTGTTGGTAATTTTTAAAGTCCTGGGGCCTGGTTTTCGAAAGTATCCTTAGATATGTCATAAGATTGTTATGACTAATTTTATGACCATCTTATGACTATCATATGATATGTCATAGAATATAAATCGAAGCTGTCCTTAGATAGACATACCTTTGATGCTCTTATGACTGTCATAAGTGAACATGATTTCTTTTATTTGAAGTCATTATTAAAAATTATAAAAATATCTAAAAAAAATAGTAAGTATGAAAATGCTGATTATTACTATTCTTATCATGTACGAATATTTTAATATTTTTCATTATAGTGAACATGAAATTATATATGAAATGGAATTAAAATCTTAGTTGAAAATTTGTTTAAATTTAGTTTGTATATATATACATGAAGTGCTAAATAATTGTGAATACATTTAAGATTTGGTACATCGAGTTCCCACTTAACGAAATGACCGTGATCGTTAATAAACTACTATATAAGGAAAGAAATAATTATACATTTATTATACAAAATCATTAGTGAGAAAAGGAGTCAAAATTTTACGTCGCATAAGGTTTAAATTTTATTGACGAAAGTAGAGAAGAATAAATCCTTACTATTTAGTAACACAACAACAACCAATGTCAAAAAGAGAGCATGCTTGCACAAGGTCATGTTTTCTCTGACTCTTAATGACGTCTTTACACTAAATCCATTGGATGTTGAATGTGTAATGATTGATATTTTAGTCTTAAATGCATGATTTGTTTTATTAGTTGTTATTGGCTTTGAACTAGCTGTCAGTAACTGCGAGTAATCTCAGATCTGTACTTAGTGTCTTTTTTGTTGTAAGCGATGAGGGATGGATATATACCCTGCCACGTCCTGTCTGTGTTTTTGTTTGATGTTTTTGTTTGTATCGATCTGATGAGTTAAGCCTTTTTCAACTGATTTTTATACTTTGTTCTTATGTTGTGCTGTTTCACCACTGTCTCAGGTTAGGGAGAGGGTTGAGCGCTCACAAACATTGTTTAACCCCGCCACATTCTTTATATGCCTGACCCAAGTAAGGAGCCTATAGTTCAATGGTTGTCGTTGGGTTGCAGTATGACAAGATAATTGTATTCAGCACCAAAATTTTCAGATATCTCACTTACTATACAAACACCGAATTGTTTTTCTAGATGCTTGTATGTTGGTTTATTTCTGATAATTTCTCCTTTGACAAAAAAGAAACTTTAATTTAATAATTTAGCTATCACATATTTTTGACATTTGTCATCTTCTGAAAAAGTATTCAAGAGTAAGATGGGTCTAACTTTCACTAAATAAGAGCCTACGAGTACACTTAAACGTATATATCCTTTTAACTCAATTAACTATGTACTTAATTTTATTTTTCGGTGACTGTCAAAGTTTTTCAATATCATGAATTCCTTCCAAACGTATGTTTCAAACAGCCATACTAAACTAATAGAAAAGAAAGGATATGGGGTATCCATTCATGACACAAAATCAGTACATGCACAGCAAAAAAACATAAAAAGCAAAAGGAACAGCGCTTTTATTGCTGTTCTTAATCTCAAAGTCACAGTGAGGCCTTCAACACGGAGGAAAAAAACAGTCAGCTCACTGCAAGTTTAAGACTGATACTAGCACCGGTTTTAGAAGAATTCTCTGCAAACTGACGATCACGCCACAACTGTGAATATTGAAGAACAAAGCCATGGAGTAATGTCAATAAAACTGTCATAATTTAGCCCTAAAATCACAATGAAGCGCGCAAAACAACAATACAAATATTTACACAACCATAACGGGGCACACCAAGAAATGTTTTAGATAACTTGGCAGGAAATAACGTATGTATAGGGAAAATAGTTCTGTAAACAATATAGAATGACGCTGTATTTGTTAAGTAGATTTGTAGGTCAATGCATTAGACATGTCAAAAGTATTATGTTTATTTTTAACGTTACATGTTTATTGAATCTGTTGAATAACTTGACTTAATAAAATTGAATGCAAATGCACTTAATTATAATTAAAAGATTTGAAAGTTTTAGAATAATCAGCATTAAGTGTTAGAACATGTACTACTTTGTAGGTCCCTCATACAGAAATAACCCATTCAGTGACCTTGAAACATTGCGCGAGAGCCCCGTGGTGTATGAACTAGCGAATTTACGACAACTGAGCTGTTTGAGTTTCGATTATATTCATTTCAATTATATTGAACTCATTTTATTATACTATTTCCTTAGTCATCCAACTCAAATGCATTCATACTTTGAATATTGGAATTTGTCAGTTTGAAACTATGAGAAAATGGCATCATATATGTCCAGCAAAAACCCTCAAGTCCTCCGTTTGAAAAATGTGCTACCTCACAATATGCGTTCTTTTAAATTAAAAAAAAACCCTCCATCGCTCTATTGTAGGTCTCTAAATTCTATACAATTCCCATATTGAAATAAAAATGTGCTAGTTGTATCAAAAATATTAGTTATGCAAATATCAAATTCTACCTTGCATTGATTACGTTCTTTTCCTATCTTGCATTATCGATATTTAATACGATTTCTGATAATTCATTGTCATCATATATAACGTAGGAAATGACCATTCTGGTACAACAAAACTGTTTAATTCAGACTTTAATTGAGTACAGTTTATCAAATAAACAAGAGTAAAACATTTAAAAAAATATTTAAAATATGTTTACCATATATACTTTGTTTTGACATGAAAATAAGAACATTATTTATTTGTTAAAAAGAAAATAAATGGCAGTTTTTATAATGACATGATTGTAAAATTCAATTAACAATATTAAACCAGGACAACTGTTCAATAAACAGGACACTATCATATTCAGCATCTGGAACCAGGACAAAATATACGTAGTTTTTCTAGTACCTTTTAAGGGGAGACC